GTGTGTGTGTGTGTGTGTGTGTGTGTGTGTGTGTGTGTGTGTATGTACTCCTCTATATGTGTGTACTCATCTAGTACTCATGTACTCATTTGGCTTGGAAACTTGTGGGACCTGGCTATCTCTCAAGTGTACCTGGATGTCTTTTTATATGAATTAAAACAGGAACATATTGTGCAATTAAGTGGACATATTAACATGTACAAACCTAGAAAATCTATAGAAACAAACAGGACAGACTGCAACGTACAGTACAACATACAGTAACAGCAAACTGAAGAGTGGCGCCAAAGACCAAGAGTCTACAGCCCAGCCAGTGGCTCTGTGAGGATGTACTTAGCACCAGCAGTGCTTTGTGGTAAATTATATCAGCATGCTAACATGCTCACACGATGACAATGCTAACATGCCTATAAGCAGGCTGCTAAACACATCCTCTGCTTGACATTAAAAACAGTCTCTTTTCCAGAATGGAAGGGGAACATTCAGCATCTACAGCAGAGAGCCAGCAAAAACAACTGGTTATGTGATGACGAAGCACTATGCAAAATAATTCAATTATAACACCGCTCTGTCATTTCCTACTGTGTCATGAGAACAAAATGCCAAAGCCTGTTGCACCTTTAGTGCAGCACAGCTTTCCTCCAACATTTAGCAGCAGGTGACGGTGACGGATGAAGAGTTTAAATTCAAAGAGTCTTTCTTCCAAAACAGAAGCAAGTTTGAGAAGCTTGAAGTTCCAAAATGACTGTTTTCTTGAATATTGTCTTAATTTGCAGCCCGAGAGGTGACATGTACGCACGGACGCATAATCTTTATTATTGCAATTTAATGAATGCAAGTTTGAATACATGATAGTTAACATGTAGTGAATTATTGTAAATAAAATTGGCTTCTAGTGCATTTTAGCCCTTACAGTCTGTAAATAGCAATTAATGACAATTCAGAAAAGAAACAATGGGCCTACCGTTTAATGTGCCGGTCAGACAAATAAAAAATAGACAATTGTATCGGCCAAAAGGTAATTAGACCACCGGGAATGTGCCCAGTGGATGGCCAGTCCAGCCTTATATACCAACATAGGAAACCATAAAGTGGTTTAGTGCATAAGCTAAAAAAGTAACTATGGACAGACTCAAAGGGTTGCCATAATTGAAAGCGTTTCGACTTTCTGGGCAACTCTTCCTGAAGATAATTGTTTAAAAGAATCCGCAACAAGAATAAATGTTGAAGAATAAATAAATATTTGAGCTCATGCTTCAGATATTAGAAGTAAGAATCTGCGGGAAAAGATCCATACAAATAGGAAATGTGAAAGAGACAAAAGAGACCAAACTTGGCAATATCAGTAGATACTTTCTGGGCTTCGTGGGGCTTTGCATTGGTCTTTGTAAGAATTAATAACATGTCGTACTGAGAGTGTGAAACTGGGAGGGAGATGAGAAATGCTGCATTAATGCCTGCTGAATCTATCGACGGGAAAACAAAGGCACGACCGAGGAAAATAAGGGTTTTCTCAGGGGATCTGAATTACCGCCAGCCTCTGGACAAAACTGGCACAATATATTTCAATCATCAGAAGAACTGCAGCGCACAACAACGCGACTGAAGTTGAATCACTCAAGAATGGATCAGCTGGAAGTAACCCTCACTGCCGTTTCTTTTTTCTCTCTCTTCCTTTTCAAACGTTATTTTTCCCTAAAAATGTCCATGAAAATTAAACCAATTTTTGAGTTGAAAGAAAGATAAGAGACCCATTATCCTTTCCGAATAATTACGGGCAGACCAAATGCATTTAGAAGGATGAAAGTTTCAGATGGGGAGGGAGTTGAAAAAAATTCACGAAAACATTCAAATTGAATTTAATCACAGCAGAGTCGACCCATCTCATCAATTATGTAAGAGGTCTTACACTGCATGAGTCACCTTTGATCCCGCAGTGTGGATGGGTGCGTGCGTTTTAAATGACGGCTCGTCTGCTGGAAATAGATACTGTGCAAGTGGGATGCTGCCTTGAACAAGACAATGACCTGGAGTTCAAAAGCAGCGCGTATGTTAATGGATATTAACAACAGACAGAGACAGCAACACTGTGGTGGCAATTCCGGTCCGCCTTTACAGCATCATGATCGGCAACAGCGTGAGGGGGCTGTTTGCGGGGGTGCTCAACAAAAGAGACGGACAGCGATGCCGTATCAGATAAACAATATGGAGGTGCACTTGCTGAGCCAGTAATGACTGCCATAATAAAAAGGCAGCTCAGCATTTTCAAAGGGAGAAGATAAGATAAGCTTGAATTCATTCACGTATCACTCTCAGATTCAAGATGGATAAAGAGCCCATGGTGCCCACAACACGTTGGCCAACTGCATTAAAACCTCCACTAGACAGCAGCAGCGACGTTGCAGTCCAGAGTGGCTGGAGTTCAAATCTCAGATGCGCTTCTTGGGCTCGGCGCGGTCGCTTCCTGTGTTCTGATATTCTCATCTCTCTCATTAGAGAGTAGACGCGCAGCGCAGGCTAGCATTTGCATTTGAAACTGATATTACTCGAGCAAGGTCACGGCGTCAGCGACGGCGGGGGGGTATATAGTTTTACCGAGCTCCCCGTTCAACAGGAAATTGTGTTACTTGTACAAACTGTGCACTCTGAAAAAGAAGACAATAAGTCGAGGCCGGAGCGAATAAAGATGCATCTTTCTGTTTCATTATCAAAGGTGAAATGATTGCTGCACGTGCATAATGTAACCGTGCATTGTGACATGTGCAGATGAGCATATATGTGCATTTCACTCTCTGTGAGCTGTCTTCTCCAAGTCTCACATCAGAGTTTCCTCTCAACCATCATGAGATAGATGCCCATGCTCCCTTCTTTCTGATCTAAACATGGTTGAGGATCTGCTGTGCTGCAGTCGACTGCACCACCACTTTCATAAATGTATGAACAGGACGTTGAAAAACAAAACACTTTACGCGTAAAATATTCAAAAGTTGCTGTCCGCATAGACACGAGAGAGATATCCCCACGCTGTTGAGAAGGTGCACAAGTAAACAAGAAACAGTCAAACGCTGTTGAGGTTCTTCAAATTCACTCGAAGGGAGTATCACTAAATATATCCTGCCCATGCAGCAATTGTGTATAATGGAGAGAACCTTCACCTCAACTGATGAAACGGACCTTTTTTTTTTTAAATCTCACATATTCAGGGACGAAAACATATAGGCTACCATATAGACAAATACTTAATAATCAACAGCTGTTGCAACTATAGAGTCACGGTCAAGATGTTTCGACTTCACTGCGAGCAAACATGAGTTTATCTCTGTGAAGCACCTTTCAAACTAAATTAAATGGCGGGAGCTCAGTTATGTAAACCCATGAAGTGGATTGTGCCATTGCATCACTTCGCAGTGTTGCCTATGGGGCCTCATACAAAACTCAATTTAAACTCAATTTAACACGCACCTGTCTAACGCACGTGCAAACTTTGGTGCAGAAACAAAACAAAAAAAGATTTTGTTCCTGAAACCAAACAAAAACTAAACCTTGTGTATGAGAAGACCAGGAGACGTTGTCACAAAGTACAATTACTCATGAAAACAGGACCCCGCACAGGTCAGCGTGGTGTAGATGCTACGCCTGTGTGCTGAGGTTACAAATATGAGTTCATTAAATATTTAGGAAGAAGTTTGGAAGTCGGTGCATAACACCAACCTAGCCAGAAAACAGCATACATATCGAATATTTTGGTTGTCCGATTAAAATCAGCTGTTTTCAACGCTGCTTCTACACACGCGCGCGCGCTTGTTAAGAGAGGAAAACGCCAACAGCTAATTATGTGAGAACAGAAGTGAACAGCTCGTGTGAAGTCCTACCTGGTCCTGCTGCTGAGCCGCTTTCACCGGCCCGTTCGCGTCTTTTCCAGAAGTCATGACGGCGAATAAAGAGGGGAAGGAGGGAAGAAGAAGAAGAAGAAGAGGAACGCGCGCCCGGCGTCCGCCGTTGACAGGTGCAGAATAATGAAGCGGAGAGAGAGACGCAGACCAAGAGAGAGAGAGAGAGAGAGAGAGAGAGAGAGAGAGAGAGAGAGAGACGTACCAAGTGTTCAAGGATATCAAGTGATTTGTTAGAATAATGTCAGAGACCGTGGGTGCAGACAGCGCAGGGTTCAGCTGATGTGCAGGAAACTGTGGACGGCTGCGATGTGGGAGGTTCGGCTTGCCTTTCGGAGTGGCAGTGTCATCACCCGCCGCTCCCAAAACTCCCGCCTACAGCGTGCCGCGTTTAGTCATGAATTTATTGAAGTTATGGATAGGACTGAGGCGCACATGTGCATGCATGGGCAATCAACGACGGGAGGATCAGACATCATTTTTCAACATCAAAATAAAAGAAGTAAAACATGTCAGATTGGAAACAATCATTTGTTCTTCAATATCTTCAAAAATGTGTAATTTAGAGCATCGTGAAACTATACAAAAATGGGGACAAAAAGAAGCAACAACTTCCTTCATTAGCAAAAGTTTGGAGCTCCAATAGTGCAAAAGTCTTCTCTGCAGTCTTATCTTGGTTAAATATACATATACAGTATACATTCGTGACTGACCGTGTTCTGTGCATTGCAGTTTAGGATTTGCATATATACTAATACAAATCACACTAACTCCGCTATATTCTAAGCCAATACTGCTGTATTGTCTGCCAATAAAACAAAGGGTTGCTGCTGGGCTGGCTCTTGAGAAGCAGTGCTACCGTCCTCCCACATAGAGCAGAAATAGTTTCCGTTCCCAACAAAACATTGTTTGTGCTGTAACTCTCTCACCGTGTGTCACATCTCTGTGCACACACACGATCCACATTATTGTTAGCACAGCTTGCCTGCCTTATTTGTGTTGCTCGCACACACGCACACACGCATATATGCACGCATATACACGTGCGTAGCCCTCTGGTTCTGAAGAGAGCTTTTCCTCAGAAGCCATGAGCAGCCTCTGCGGAGCTCCTGGCTTTTTGAACCAGTCATCTGTTGGAGGGAAAGGAGCTGAACGCTCTGAGATAAGACGGAGGGAAACGTGCGTCGACGGCAGAGGGGAGATTGTGTTTGGCATCAGTACAATGTCTTGGTTGTAATGGGTGGCAGTGCCTTCACTATCATCTTAAGGGGTTTGTTGTTTTCACAAGAATAAACAGAGCAATGTCTAAACTTCAGAGTAAAATCATCCATTTTTTTATCTTAAATCCCAAATGATGCTTATCATAAATGTTACAGTAAATCATGAAATATTTTTGATTGCTCCAGGAAATTCATCTGTGCAAGCTTATTCTGAGATCACACTTTTGTTCATTATGAAATAATGAACATGAAGACATGAAGTGCTGCCAGATCATTTAGTCAGATTAGGCAAAAGTATAGTACATTTTTATCAGCCCAAGTAGGGAAAACGTTAATTTCATTATGATTACATTTTGGGGGATTTTGTTCCTTTTGTTTGTGGACAGATCTCTTTAGACCAAAATCTGTGCTCTCACTGTTAGGGTATAAAGTGTACTTGGCACCATTTACAAAGTAAATGACGTGCTCAATTTGCATATTATAAGAAAAACATAATATTTCTCTTCATATTTGGGACGTACAGAGATGCCTACGGATTGCCGTGTAAGTACGGCCGCACCAATCCATTCTGCAAGGTTGATTATGTGATCTAGATTGAATACAGTTTCTTCCTCAATGTCATTAAAATAATCTATATTTTCCGCTGCCAGTTACATATATTCGGTGACTGGGGGACCCTTTCTCAGTTTATAACGGCACAATGATCTCTCTCCTCATGTCATCTCCCTCTTAGAATACTTGGATTCCCTGCGCTGAGGTATCGGAATCTGTACCAGAGAGAAAAAGTCAAATTTATGCATCATTAATTGTTATATAATAGAGTGCACGCCCATGGATAAGCACAATCACAATAATAAGTAACAATACCGCAAATAAAGATTATAGGTAAGTTAATGGGAAGCATATTATATTACCACAATAAGTCGTGATTGGCCTAATTCTATGGTGCCTCTGAGCAGGATAAAAGGGAAAAAAATGAGGAAATATAGAATAGAAAGAAATTCAAGCAATAAATGTAGAGGGAAACACATTTCTGCGGCAGGGCAATTCTGACAATGGACTTTAAAAAGGCCAGACAGCGTACCAACCCATTTGGCACTGTTGTCACTGCGCAGCTCCACACTTGGCCTCAGGGAGCTGCACGACCAGCTCAGTGCCAACAATGATTTCAGCACCACTGCTGTGGACAGCTCCACCGACACATGAGCAGAGAGTCTGGTTTCCTTTTCACCCAAATACATTCAAATGAATCTAGCTGGGGTATAAAAGCAGATGTAATTGGGTCTGTTCTGCATAGATATCCCAATAAATGAGAAAAAATTGTTTACAAATGAAATTAATTTCACAATTCAAGATTACAGTTTAATCCTCGAATGTGTGACAGTCGCTCTACTCTCCCTATTTATAAGACTTCACTCATGAGTCGCTCACTGACAGATTAAACTCAACCCGATGTCAGGGGATGCGAGCACCTGAAAATTAGCCGCACAAAAACAACAACGTTTTAAGAGAGGTGAAAGGCAGCCGGACATTTAACAAGATAAACACACCGCATTAGACAAAAACAACAAATGTGGGGAGCAGAGGGACCTGCCAAGCTCCAATAAACAAGAGACGAAACCCAAACACAATGAGGGGCACCACCACTGATCATCACAACCCATTACTCGTAGGTTCCAGGCAACAACGAAATGAAGAAAAATAAATAACACACAAGCAGGCTTAATTGGAGAAGTAAAAGATAATGCAACCATGAGGGGTCAGAGCGAGCCTTCAGAGCTTTTTTGAACCACATTTTTATCAGCTAATTGACATCATTTTCATTTGTATTCAGTTCTATCATCGAGTGGTTTATGTGCTGCCTGAGACAACATCTCGAGGCAGCCCTGTCAAATAAATCCAAAGCCCTTAAACAAGCACTTTCCACCAAGCAAGGAATGTGCAGGGCTGTTGAAGTTATTGACAGCGTCTTTTTTTTCCCCCTTTCTGTCTGGGGGACCAACAAACAATCATTTATTTATCTGTCAATAAACAATGGGATAGTCTTCCACTGCATGCTAGCTCCCCCCAGTGATCACTTGTTGTCTGACATCTTTATGTTGGTAAAGAAATGAATATTCAGCAGATTTCTCGCAGGACAATTCCTCGTTTAATCGTTTCCACTCCGAGGCTTGTGTTTATTTTATTACAAAAAAACATCGACACAAATTAGAGATTATTATGAAGACATTAACTTGTAAGTTGGTGGGGGCCGTGCAGTTACTAAAAATGCAAATCTTTTCCTGATTCATGGCAGAAAAACCTTTTCTTATGAAGGAGATTGTGGAAAGAGAATCTAAATGTGTGAATCCCTGACCAGCGCTGCCTGCAGTCGTGGCCATCGGTCAGTTCAGACTGAAGTCAAAGAGAGAAAAGGGCGAGAGAGAAATGAGGGCGCCTAACAAAGGCCGGTACAGTTTTGTTTGATAACCGATCATTATCAGCCCTAACAGCAGAGCAGAAAGCCTCACACAGCCACAGCCCCTTAAAACCAACAATGCCAGGCAGCACATCATCATCCAATATGTTTTTGTATTAATGCATCCCTGAGGCTTTTCTTTTTTTTGCCATAACGTGCAGACAGCATATCATCGTAACGGCGATGAACATAATGTAATATCATAATACCTGTGCAATCTAACGCAGTGCACCTTTGCAAACAGTATAATTTTCACATTTAGTCTAAACTGTGTGTGGTTTTTTGCTTTTGCAGTGGTGTTTCAGCAACCCACGCTTCGGGCTTTGATTTGTAATGTTCAATATCATGTGCCGACAGTCAGCATGTGAAAATGTAACCTTCTCCCTTTTAGTATTTAGTGTATTTTATACTTGGCAGAGAACATCTCTCAGCAGAGTTATTGAGGACACGGAGGGCATTTCATCTGCATTTTGTTTGGGAATTTGGATTTTTAGCAGCTACATAAAAAAAACACCAACATGGTGCGTATAGTATTATTTTGGGGTTATTGCAGTATTTTTAATTTTAACAAATTTTAGGCCATTAATGAATATAGTGTTCACTATTTCCTCACCATTGTTTCATTACTGGCAGTGTGGCTCTGAATCAGCATTAAACCATGTTGGGTTGGAATGCAAATAAAAAGGAGTGAATATAGTCCAGCAGTTTAGAGTTACAACCCTAAACATTTTAATGAAATCTAACCCGGTTTTCTGTGCCATTTATTTCTGCCATAGCCAACCAATGTCTTTATATTCAGTGATTATCTCTCTATGAGTTAGTTTTTATTGGTAATTCAGGGCTGATGATTATTTATCAGAAATTGTATTGTATAAATATGTTGTGAAAGCACCAATGGTCAACCCTTATCCTTGCAATATTGATATAGGGATATTTGGTCAAAAATTTTCTCCATGTCGCCCAGCCCTACCACCATTCCCTAATCCCTGAACATGGAGTGATTTTTTTATTGTAAAGGAGCCACAGAACAAGCAACGCACGTCCCTGCAGACAGCGTCACCTGCAATTGTCAATCAAAGTTGAAGCTACAAAATTATACGAAGGTCATTATTTCAGCAAAAAGATTGCAGGGAGTGATGGAACAAGAAGACAGCTGTTAGATGGAGAGCCACAGCTGCACATCTACAACTCCTCAGCAAGGTAACACCTGCAGCATGTGCAGCTTGAACCCAGATCCCGGTTGCAATTATGGTTGACTGACTTCTATATTAAAACATGTGTTTGTTTGGTTGCGCTATAAACAGATACACCAGTTGCACTTCAGTTGTATGCACACCATAACTGAGATGACTGTTTGCTGTATCATTAAACTGTGCTTGCTGTTTGACTTTCAAAATGTTCTGTCGGGGAAGTATGCACTCTAGAGTGTGTGTTGGGGAGACTTTTTGTGTGTGGACCACTCAAATGCAATGAAAATAAATGAAAATAGAACACTGTCATTTTAAATTGTTCTCATGCACAATGGCAATAAAATCCTATCAATCAACGATGGCTGCTGATTTAGGAACAAGCTGTTTCCACTCGGCCGTGCCGCCTGCTGTCAGCCCGGCCAACTCAATCATCAGTCACATCCCTTTCGCCCTCTGGCCCGCCGTGGTTCCCTCAGCTGTCAGATTAGCCGCAGCGCTTGCATTCACCGAGTGTAAATACTGCTATTTGCATCGCCACTCCTCGTCTGCCGAGCCGCGGCCATAAATCTCAGGTTAAGGACAGTGCCGGCTTGTGGGCCGTGCTTCAGAGTTCATCACAGATCATTGCTGTACACTTCAACGACATCAATCCGGCCCAGAGAAAACACACGCCTACATGAGTGACAAAAGGCAGAGAAGTTTTCAGACTGCAGGCAGAGGTAGTTTTTTCACTGTCTGGATGTTACAGAGGGGTGATTAACAAGTGCACAAGTTTTTAATCAGACTCATTATTGGTCTTTTACCAAGAGAGGACTTTCAGGGGGAAGCAATTAATCTACCATTGTCTTGTCTGGAAATGTTTGGACACACAGACGCACACACGCTATAAAAAATGACATTTACTTTTACATCATTCCCGAGCCTCTGAATCTCACTCCTTGACCCCCATCAATACTTAACAGTTTTTCTAGGAAGGCTGCACTGGTCATACTTGCTTGTTAAGTATTAACAACAGAACTAGTTGGTTATCGTTACGTAATGATGCTAAAGCCTGTGTTGTTGTTTTGGAATACATTCTTAAAGTAAACTACAATAACCGTCTCACGGGTGTATGCCTCTGCCAACCAGTCATGTTGTTGTTTACATCCATGTCTTTCCACAATATCACCGCATCATCATTAGCAATTCTTCTGGCCATGGCTGTCGCCGGCTCAGAGGCATAAAAATGTACAAACTTATAATTATATGGATGGAATTTCGGATGCAACCTTTTTTTTTACAATTGTCTATGCTGACTTTTCCACTAAATCCTATTTGACGTAATCGAGGGAATCACATCTTATTTCCTGTCATGATTGCTGAATAGAAAACTGTACATTCATTCAATCAGTATTTGAGCCGCATTTTAAAGAGACCCATTGCACAGTATATTCTTCATTATTCAAACAGCCTTGTATAATATCTGCACGGAAATGAGACCACAGAGGATGAAATTGGTTTATTTTATGTTGTGTCTTTTTCCAGCTTCGTTATTCACTTTACATTATGGCAGTTTCACATTGCCTCCTCTGACTGACTCAGGCTCATGACAGTCATTTTATTATGCTCTACAGTCTACTGTGTCGCTGTGTGCCCCATAAGGTGTATGTCGTACATCGCAGCCCAAAATATTCGCTCCTGTGAACCCGAAAAAAAGGAACATCCCAGTAGCTACCCACTACCTGTACTCACAAATTCTCTCCTGAGGAAAAAGATTATCTCGACTGCACAACACGCCACAGAGCAGCGATGAAACTCAAACAGAAACTAATTTTCATTTTCTGACCAAAACGACATCCTTGGGGACCAAACTGGGACTTTTCATAGAAAAAGAAAATAACTGAGGAGAAACAGTATTACAGTGTTAAGGTTGCCAGTATCGGAGGCTCATAATGTAGTTCCAGTTTGGCCTCCACAATAGGTCTCATGAGTCCATTTATAGGATGTCCAAACAAGCCTTCATTTATTATTCGTGTTACAATAGTTTGCCATGAACATATAACCTCCTCCACCTCAAGGCTGCAAAATCTCCTCACATTTATAACTTTGTGACCACAAAACCAGACACTGCACACAGTGTAGACCGCAACGTTTCCAGGATAATGCATTCTGCTCAAAAAGCTAGGAGACAGAAAAGATTTAAAAGAGTCTCAATGCTTAGATGACAACAGCTTTTTGGGGCTCGGAAGAGAGAGAGGTCCACCGAGACGTCTGAGAAAAAGGCCTGCAGCCATGACAGTAACTGTCCCTAATGTTCATCTTTAACTAACTCTTGATATACTTGAATTATCTTCTGTTTTATTAGGGTTGACCGTGTTTATATCCCTAACAAAGGATGATCCATAGAGTTTTAGAGCACTTAATGATTACGCGGCAACACCTGTCCACTGATTTCACAAATCATGCCTTGCTCGTTTTGAATTAGCCTTCAAGATCCCCTACAGAAATGTTTTGAAGACATAGAGAAATACTTTGACTTGAATCATAATTTTGTACTCCTTTTGTACGTCTATGTGAATATGCAAATATTTTCAGTTCAAAAGTTGAACTGCCAAACTCGAGATGTCTCCCACTTCCCGTGCGTCTCTCATGAGTTCATCCTATCAAAGTGTCTTTTGAAGAAAACACCCAAAGGCACCTTCACGCAACTGTGGTCAAAAAGAAATTAAGCAAGCAGATGTTGAGCACAGCTCCACTGCACGGATATGACTCAGATAATAAAACACAACAGCGAGGAAATGATGTCAACAAGGAAACGGTAAAGTTGCTCATTAAGTATGTCACATGAGCATTTATTTCTTTAGGAGACGAGCGGGGTGAGTCAGCGTGCATTTACAGCGCATTAACCCATCTGCTGATTTAGTTCTCGTAAAACAGACTTACGAGCCTCATGAACTTTATGTGTGCTCATCAATGGCTTGCAAGAGGGTCGTAAAATGAAAAGAAGAACAAAGTTTAGAGTTATGCATTTCGGCGAGTTGTTATGGAAATTTGTCGGAGACAAAGCTCAGCCACAAGGGCAATAAACAAGGAATTAGCAGCAGCGTGTGCTGTATATTCAGATCAGGGAGTTACAAATCATCAAAGAAACAAAAGTCACAGGTGTAAAATAAAAAAATAGATTTCAGTGGGCCAAAAGGACGTGATAATGAATCACAAGGAAAAGATAATTAATATATCAGTGCTGTTCTACTCTTATTAAGAATGGAGTAGTTGAGTCACAGAGGGGATTGATTAAAAGCAAATTAGTAGCATCTGAATGAATATTGCTCCATCGTTGCCCGTTCACCGTGGGTTTGAAAAGGTTTTCATCATCTCGCTACTCCGCCTCTCCAAGGACCCAAATAACAGAAGAAAAAAAAATGCAATCTAGTTTATGTTTAATTATTCTCTCTATCACTACTTCAGACCCAAATGAGAGGCGCACAAACACACACACAAACACACACACACACACACACACACACACACACAAACCTGTTTCTTTGTCTTGCGCACAAGGAGATAAAGAAATCCAAGACGCTGCCCACCCAAAACAGGCACAAAGCTATTCTAGGGATATTATTGTAATTTAAACCTTCATCGACTTTGGTTGAAAGGACGTTATCTCATTTTGCCAGGCTTTGAGATGTTCGTCTCATGAGGTTTCTGCCCCTACCTCAGTTCTATGGCGGAAAAAGAAGTTTAGTTTGTGGTGCTACAGCTTTGGATAATACAAAATGAAGGTTGTCATTTTTCAATTCAAATAAAAGCGGGAATTCCAAACAAAATTACATTCATTTCCATTGTATTGGGGTGAATGTAGGGTAGAAACCAGAGAAAGATATCTCAAAACCTGACCAAATAAAACTAAAAACTATCTTCATAGCCAGACAGCACTTATGGTGAGAAAATAATTTGAAAGGAACAACCCTTTACCTTGATCATTCAAATGTTGGAACCATTGCCACAATGGCAATGCTAAAATATTGATAATTAGCTGCAATGTTCACTACCATAACCACCTTATGTTAGCATGTTAGCATGCTGACATTTGCCAATCAGCACAAATCACAAAGTACAGCTGAGGCCGATGGTTTTGTGTTCGATGGTATGTTATAAGTTTTGCACTTATTTTCTCATAAAACGTAATATTGATATGTAGTATTGAGTATAGATTATATTTTTAAGGATCACCCAAGTCATTAAAATTCATTCTAAGCTGTACATGTGTGTACCAAACTTCAAGCTATTCCATGCAAAAGCAACATCATCAATCTCATGGCAGCACTAGAGAAAAAGTCAGTTGATTCCCAAAGTGTCCATATTAGTATTAGCAGTAGTAGTAGTTGTAGTAGCAGTATTGGTGATATAATCAGCAATATGTACTTGAGACACAGAAAACATAGACATTGTGACAGCTTGTACACCAGCAGCTCTCTGCCAGAGCTCAGCCTCTCAGGGGATTTGGATGCAGTTTTGAAATGCTCGTGTCAAACTCGTATCGTGTCAAAACTAATACATATTTCAGGCATCAAGGCAGCCACAAGGACAAAACCCCAGGATACCCAGCTAGATCAGTATCAGCTGCTAAGCTGTAGCCTGACTCTATCAAAGCCAGACAGCGTCTCATTGTTGCCTCCTGCTCCCTGTGTGTCGCTGATAGCATCAAGTGAAACATCTGTCTACCAACACCAAGATATATGTCGTAGTATCTCTAATGAGATAGTACTGCTGAGTGAATCACACATTTTAGTTTTATTAAAGTCACAGTGAAACGGCAGTGGGTGGGGTTTAGTTTTAAAAAAAAGGTGCCTTGGCTTAACGCATGTAGCGCATTTTATATGATAGACGGGTTGATTACACACCCCAAATCCCATTTGATGTCAAGATGAGTCATCAATAATACTTTCAGACTTTACAAGAAGAGTGGGGGAAATGAGTAGGAGAATAACAAGCAGGAAAAGGTTCCGGCCAGCCGGGGATCTGCGCCCATGTGGTGTGCAACCTAATGATTCGGCCTCAAGTATTCTTTGTGGGACACTGTTTGCCCTTCATTAGAGAGAGAAGACAGTATAGAGGTGACAGCACACGAGGAGAGAAAGAGACGGACATTGCTCGCAGGACTCAAATTGGGAACATTGTGTTTGCTGTCAGTTTCTTAAACCCCTTGGCAACCAGGAAGCCCTGAATTTACACAAGCAAGTAAAACAAAAAGTGCCTTCGGGCGAAATAATTCTATTTTCCATTTCAAATTTGAGGTGTATGCAGAAACTAGATCCAGTGTACTAAGGCAAAGCTTGCGACAAGTTTTTTTTAAATAAACTGTTGCATTAAGATTCAACTAAATTTGGGAGAAAAGTTTATTGTCATTAGAAACATCAACATACTGACCTCTTCCCATCGTCGATTCTTACCAAACGTTTGTGCTGTCGAGGTCCAACTTTGTCTAGTGGTGAATATTAAATATGTATCACAGTGAAAAAGCTGATAATGCACGACGGGGACTGAGGAAGCACTCTGTGCATGTACAGTGCAGCCTTTGCTTAACCACAATTAATGACTGTAGGGGAAGTGCATTAAGGTATTTCTATGCTGGATCCTGTGTGTCTGGGTTTAGTTTTTAAGTCTCACTGCAGCAGTCGAGTAAGACATTCACGAAAAAAAGTAGGGATGCAGATATGGTAAAAAGCAGTGACTGAATCAGTCACAAATCTATTTCTCCCCATAATACTTGATATTTCTAGTAGTATTTAACATAACTTTACAACACCAAGTTGCCCATCAGCGCGTCCCCTGAGAGCCTGGTGTTTAAATTTACCAGCTGATACATTTTTAGATATAATAGCTGTGATTTTGCATCAAATTCTAACAACTTACAACACGGGCTGTCATCTGAAGTTCTCATTATATCATCAGACTGTTTGAAAAATAAATATATAAAATGAACAACTCTGACACTAACTCATGCATAGAAACAGCCTGTAATTACTTTCAAAAAATGCCCATCGAGTGCTCAACAACAGACCGATTAGAAGCATAATTAGAAAGTAGAAAGCCCCTAAAATGCTCCGCATGGCAAACATTAAATAAAGGCAAACACGGGTTACACGTGTACCTGAAAAGAATTAACACACTCACCTTCCACAGTCTCTCCACCCGGGACAACTTGCGTGATTTCATTGTGACGGAGTGGCCGCATACGGAAAGGGCGAAGGAGGAGTGATGTACACACAGAGAGGGAGAAGTGAATAATGAGCTGGTCATAAACGGGGCACACCTCAGCTCTCAGTGAGAATTATTCCATAGTCAGCATCTCAGCACTAACTTCCACACATTACGTTGGAGAGAGTGCCCACGTGGGTGTGTGTGTGTGCGTGTGTGTGTGTGTGTGGCTGTGGATGTTGGCATGGACTTTCTCGAACTGAAACACTGCCCAGCTTTCTCAGGGAAAGACCGCATCATCGGGGGAAGAGACCCCCAACGAGAACTTGACACCGCCATCACGCCAGAGGACATCACGTCAGAGCTTTGAGGGAGAATCAGGCAGAGCAAGGTGTCGGACAGCCGTCCACGTCCGCACTAATCCCTGAAACACAACCCCAGAGGAGGAGAGCATAGGGGGTGGGGTGAGGGGGCGGTGCAGCCAAAGCCCTCGGCCCCTTCACAACAATCAGCACTGAACCACTTACCTGAGCCATTAGCCGCATCTTGCCGCTCAGCAGGGATCAGCATTACACACCGCACGCAGAGAGCTCTGCCACTTTATGGCACTTTTTACCCAGGGTTGTTTATACCATCTCCCATCTGCTTTTCTCCCAGGAGCAATTTACCCACAACACCAACTTTCTGGATTGATAAAAGCATTGGTCATACGGCTACGGGCTGATGCAGGCTAGAATTCCACCAACACTTAAGAGGTCAAAGGGACCGAGACTGTGAAGCTAATACCTGTACGGCGTCACCAAGTGCAAATACTACCTGTGCCCTCGAGGCTTGTGACTGTAGCATGGATTCTCTTTCTGTTGAGCTTATTTTACTTTAGAATGAATGAAAAAAAAATTTTTAATCTTGCACAATGTCTGGAACCACAACCTTCTCTAAATGATATTACAACCACGGAAGTCATTCCTAGAACTTTAAGCAGCACTAATTCATTTTTTTAACGTGAAACACAAAAGCTGCAGCTTACAGTGCCGAACCCACAGTGACACCTGACTCTGCAGTTCCCCTTCGCTCCGCAGAGTATTTTTTGCATCTTTCAACTCACCGTTTTGGATTTACAGTCCACATGCTAAATGATTGGTTTAGCCGCAGCAAAAAAGCACTAAAACCCACTGTACTCGCCCAGCACTGCGCTAAAGGACCAGATGTTTCCCTCAGGACTCGGTGCAGTACAGCTTGTTGTGCTGCCCCCAAGTGGCCAAAAATAAATTAATTAATGCAAATTTAGGACAATCTCTTTGCCCTAAAATGTGCCTGTGGAAGCTGGAAAAAAAAAGACTAAACTACATTATTTCTGCTCACAAATTAAAAAGGGAAAAAATTGGATTTCCAGATGCATATTATGACAAAAATCGAATCAACTGGTGTTCAGGTCAAGGTCTATCCGACAATAAAACATCATGGATATGAAGTTATAAGAAGTCCAGCTGACAGACAGTCAGACAGGACAGACATGTAGCATTCTCTGTGAAGCTGATGAGTCGTGTGTGCTTGTCTCAACCCATGAGCCATAATGCCTTCCTCAACACATTCAATATAGTGTCTGTGTTCCCATGATGCAACAGACAATGTGTTGAGGGAAGGAACATCAATCATTGCGGTTCGGCTTTCTCGTCTTTTTGTCGGGTACGATTTTGACAGGCTGCCAGCTCCGGAGTAGGGAATTACTCAATAGCGCTCTCACCCTTCTCTCCACCTCCGCTATACACCAAACAATCATTATCTCCCCCAATCTCTGTTCTGCTCCATGTGAGCGCCACACTGAACATCCTCACAGAAGTCAACGCTCGATTCCCCGGCTCAGGGAAAAGCAATCATTTTCCTCTTGTCTGGGTCTCATTCAAGACCCCTGACTCCTGGCTTAGAGGAACAGGAGAGAATTATTGACTGGAGACGATGATGGAGGATAAGCTGCGCAATACAGAATGTGCCCAACAGAGGGGGGAAAAAAGCTCCCCTCAATGACCTACTATATATGTGCCTGTACACAAGATGTAAGTTAGCAGATATACACGCACACACACACACACACAGACACACAACACACTCTCAATTCAGAGCTAAGATGCAGCAAACAACTCTGACGGGCCACATTAGCGTTGAACCCTCTAACAGAAGTAACAAGCTACCAACCCCACCTTCATGGCTGGAGGGACTCTCCCACGGCTCCTCGCAAAGACTAGAATGCACAGAAAGGTCCGGCGAGCATGCAACATGAAAACTGATCTCATGTGTTATTTAATAGAAGACTAAACCAAAGCCAGGAGGCAGGAGAGGGCCCGCTTAGTCAACAGTCAACGGGCCTGTGTCCCAGCAGGCATTTAGACTTTTTAAACACAGGTCACTACGTCCAGCAGGGCTGCTTTTCATTTAGGCGTTCTGGCTCCAGGGTTTGGTGCATGGAGTATACTAACACTGACATGACAAACGTCTGCTACCAATACAAGATATCACCACATCTACAAGAGTTACGAAACACAAGTGTACAGAGCTCGACCCGCCACGATCATAGCATGTATATAGAGTTGAAGAATGCTTAAAGATTTACATTTTTTTATTTCTATCATTTGTGATTGATGTAACTTGCTGCTGGCAAGCTGCGCTAATACATACGAATGAACAGGTGAGATATAAAATGTAACCTGGTGAGCTTTAGAGATGCTGGAGGGCCTTTGGACAGATGCAGGCCGGCTGTTTCTACCTTTCTGGGAGTGGCAAGATGAAAAATGTTGTTTTGATTTGAAATGTAAGCACATTTACTGCATCAGAACAGATATCTGTTGCTTCAAATGTACAAAAGCCAAAGTTACTTTGTTGCTTCCGCTGTCGTTTCTCCTCCAGGGTTTACCCCGCTGTGATACGACCCTGCGTTGACTTTGCAGCTCTGCCTTTCTTTTTGCCGTTCTGTGCGTTTGTGCACCGGTTCAATGGTGTCTTTCGCGCGTGTCTGCTTGCGGCTCACCTCCCAGGGGCGTGCCGCTGCTGTATCATGGCGTGGTCGATAAGCGAGTCCGCCCGTGTGACACAACGGATTACCGCTGCCTGGTCTCAGACCAGAGAAGGGCTGTTAGAGGGCTCGGGAGAAATGGCAGCTCCGCTCTGCTGCTCTAATTCTAGCTGACAGACATTTCCTTCACTGGCTTTAAAGTTCTGTCTTCATTATTGATGATGTACTCCGGATTATTCTCTCTTTTGATTAGAAAAAGGACCATTTGTAAACAAGAGGCGCTGCTGCTGAGAAGATGAGTCTCTGTAAAAAGGGAGCATCCAGCGCCTTGCTCAAAGACACTAAAGCAGCACACATCGCTGCCAGGGGATACATTGGCTGCTGGCAGCTGAAATGCACTCTCTGGTTCCGTCTCGCACCCTCTGCAACCGATATGATAATTTGACCTTTTCCACAATCTTGAATTAAACGTGGTAAATTAGGCCGCTGATGATTTCTCGGCCGTCTCTGCCATAAAAAGGCCTTTGTCTGTGTCTGCAGGTCAGAAATCCCTCAATTTGGCTGATGTTGCAAGGTGAACGTATAACCTTTCCAATCCATATGAGAGGTGACATTACGTTACTCTTCTTGGATCTTGTCTAGACACTGTTAGCTGTGGCAGCTGGCCGGTTTTAGTTACAACGGCTGTGTAGGAAAATATAGCAATTTGTGTTTTTGTTTGTTTGTCTTTTGTGGAAAAGTAGGATTTTAGGCTTTATTGGTGCTGGCAGCACAGCGATGACAAATACACTTGTCTGTGTGAACCAGAGCCAAAGCCTGAGCTCACCTACTGTACTGTACGTTGATGTGTACAGTGCAGTGTAGAGTTGGTGCTTTGATTGGAACACAACAGTCTCTAGTGGCAAAACAGAAACGGTGCATGGCTAAGCTGTTAAAAAATATATATTATAAATAGTTTACTGCATGTGCTTTGCATTTCAAACATCAATGAAATGACACAGTCCACGGGATAAAAACTCTCATGACAACAAATTGCAGATAAAGGAACAAACTTAATCTGCAATTCTTACCCTTTCCTTCCTCCAAAAGAGCTGCACTGCTGTTTTTTAACCACGCAGCTAATAAAGCTGATCATTGATAGAAAAACGTTGAAAACATAGCCTGAAGTTGTACAACAAACAAACAAAAACTGAGACATGGGGGCACAGGGAGAAACGAGTGAGCTGATCTCCTGAAGCAGGAGAAGATGATGTGACTGCTATCAAGAGGCATAAGATTTAATTTTTTTTAACTGCATGAATATTTAACTTTTGACCACAAAGATGACCACTATTGTTTAAATATCAGTGAAAAGCGAAGATTTCAAATGTTAATGTTAACATGTTTAGCTAGTCTGACTTGTATATTTTACATACTCTGCATGCTTTACTGTTTTGTGTTTCTGACATGTATGTTTTTAAGTGTCTAATAATGCAACATAATTAGCCCTATAGTTTAATGGCTTCGTATGTGTTGTTATGTGAGCCTCTGTGTTGCATGTCTTGTTAGTACTTGACAATGTAAGAGCGTCCTGAATGATGTTTCTACTTATATTAATATTCTCTCTTCTTTTATTGTGTCTGCATGCTTTTTAAAGGGTAAATATTGCGTAATTGCGTAAATATTTGCTTTGTAAATTTAATCTTATATTCTGTTTTTAGGTTGACTTTGTAACATCTGCCCGGGGACTACGGATGAAACATAGCCTCTTGGCTAACTCTGGCGCATTTACAGAAATGTTTCATTAATGTGCACTGTCCCTACCAAATAAAACAATAAATAAATAATGTGAAAGAAACTCAAAACAACAGGCCTGCATGGAGGCTCAATAACAGCCGATGATATGTTTGTTACTTCAGGGGATCTTCAGAGAGGAAAGTCTACCAGGAGACACTGAAGCTGAGCATCAACCATTGTGCAGGATCCTCGTCTCATCGGGGTGTAATAATGCTCCTCTGTATTCAAACACTGACTAATCTCCACTGTCAGCTTGTGTAATAACAAAGTAAATCATCAAGAGGAAGAGGCACAGCCTCCCAGCGAGGCAACAGCCTGCTGACGCACTGTTGACAGGTCCGTGGAGGTGGTGGGGGAAGGGCGGTGTGGCGGGGGGGATGATTGATGGCTTGTCAACAGAACGTTGAGGTCCTGGGGTGAGGGATGGACGACCTGTTGAGATGCCCTCTGGAAACAGAGGAGCAAAAAAAAAAAAAAAAACAGGTCGATAACAAATGAGTCTGCAACCAAGCTCCTGAAACAGGAGAGGCTGATGTTCCTAAGAGCCAAAGGCGAATTACTGTTTTCAGAATAGAGGGGGGGGAGAAACAACTGGTCACGCTCGTTACGGTGGACGTAGCATGACGCATGACACCAGCGCAGGATGCTCAGTGTGCAATGTGAGAGCTGCGTCATCTCCAGACGGCAGTCAGAGTCCCTAGCGAGCAGCAGCGAGTGTGTGTGTGTGTGTGTGTGTTCCCAGAGCCTATACAGCCTCACCCTTTCCACCCTTTCCACCTTTGCAACCATGGCAACGGCGAGCAAGTGGTCCTGCTGAGGATGCTGGCACTGTCCCGGGGGGAGGAGCTGTGCGGAGCAACAGAACGTTTGCCTCGTGCGCCCCTTTCCTACACGTTTGAATGGTCAACCTTGCGTTGAGTGCCTTTTCTTTATTTTGTGATATACATTTATTCAGTTTGACTTTAAATAGCTTTTAATATTTGGGTTTTTAATGTTTTGACTTGCGTGAGGCACTTTGTTATGTGGTTTCTGAAAAGTGCTCTAAAAATAAACTTCTATTTAAGCTCAAATGTGTTAAGTTTAAGCTCCATGATCCAGGCCAAAACCTTAAAGCTGCTATAATCAATATTTCTATATTGACAATGGATCAATTGTCAACATGTTATGTGAAGAGGTTCATGGTGATGATCCCACAGAGAATTACTGTATCGCAAACTCTGCAGTTCCCCTCAGCTTACAGAGCGTTTCAGCATCTCTCAGCTCACTGGTTCGGTTTTTGGGGCCGAAACTTTTCTGTTTTGGTTCACTCTCACCCACTGTACATTACCTGCTTAGCACTAGACAGCAGATAGACAAAATAAGTGACTGGTTGGTGAACATAGTGAACCATTTAGCAGCTAAGGAGACCGATATTTTCTATTTCAAAGTCGACTGGAGAGCAAAACAGAGCGAAACGTAGTATTAATATTGGATTTAAGATTGTCAGGTGGACAGACACACGACTCCAAATAAAGGCTAATGTCTCTCCCACTTTTGCCCCCAAGTGGCCCAACAGTTACTTAAGGTTTAAGAACTGACCATGTGTGTTTTGTTCTAAGGGAAGACAAAAGAGTAATGGGAAATGTCCCATGATGTTACATTTTTAAACTGTACTATGTCTTTGCCAGATAAAACAGTAGGTAAAATGTGACCTCAACACCTCACTTGTCCTTAAAATGTGCTGACCATGAACTGCAAAGTCACTGGTTCCAATCCAGCCTCTCTCTGTCCCCTCATTCCCTGTCATCTCTCAACCGTTGACTCTCATAAGGGTCGCCTATTGAAATGTATGTGAGCTGTTCAGAACACCAGCATGTGTCCCATGAAGTGCACGTGCTTTGAATTCACATCTGGCGTTTTTGCACTGGACTGTGTTATTAGTGGGTGGGTGGGGGGGGCATCATCATCATCACACCATATAGTTTTGGAAGAATGCACCAGGTAACGAAGAAGCCAGCAACGGCCATCAGTTAGCAGTCGGCACCTGAAGCGTACACAGCTGTAGCCCGACCACAGAGATAATGAGGACGGCCTATCACATCTCGCTGCTCTCTTTCTTTCGTCTGGCTGCTTGTGTTGAGCCCCATCTGGCTGACTTATCTGAGCTTCTGGACCTCAAAGGGAAGCACACTGCTAAAACTAAGACTTGGGAACTGGGCCAAACTGTTTAAACTCAGATCTGGAGTATCTCTGGAAGTAGAAGGCACAGCTAAGTGCATATGAGGACAGGCAGGGCGTGTGTGTGTGTGTGTGTGTGTGTGTGTGTGTGTCAGCCCTGGGCAGTAGTATCTGAATTAAATTTTACACTTAAATCACACAGTCAGGGTGATTAATGAGTCACACTGTTTGGGATTTACCTTTGACAATATTACCAAAGTGAATCTTAAAATGAATTCAAAAGATGACAGCCATGCAGGTATGATGACGTTTTACAGGATGAACTCCGCGTATACCCAGCTAAGAATACTGAAATACAATGGTGACACTATAAAAACACTCCAGGAATCTCTCAAAGAGAAACCTCATAGCTCACAGCTCTTTGTGTTCATCCCCGGAGATGTAGCCTGCGTAACCTCCGTGTTTCAAAACCAAGTCTTTGCCACCAGGATCCTCAGGGAGATTATCCTACTTTTTCTCTATCATCTGTAAATTCCAGTATACTTTTAATAAAAAATCTGTAGCCTAGGAGGAGAAAAAAGAAAATCACTCATGCATTGAGCAGCATGCCAGTCTCAGATCCCTGTGAGAAATAGGTTTTTCACTAATGACTCGCGGTTAAACATGAACATATTTGCTTATAAAAAATGTATCTATTTATAAAAATAAATATAATCTGACTAAGTATTAACTTTTTGATGTAATCAGTCAGGCCAGTAGCTGAAATCGGTGATTTAAGTGCAGTAAGTGTTCCGAGATCCAGCTTGAGGCCGGAACCTGCGATGATGTGCCTTAATTGTGAATCAGTAAAAATGTAAAGCTCATTTACATAACCGACAGGTAATGAATACCAAAACTTAGAAAGCACATGGAGACGGTTGAGGTCACCAAATCAAAAACAATAGAACTCTAAAAATAGGAGCTTCACTTTGAGATGAAGGACGTTTGACTGAAAAACAGGAAGTCAAACTATTTTTAGTGGCACTTTAAAAATGGTCGTCTGCCATTGGAAGAGTCAGGTGGACTTGATTCTCTGAAGGGCAGTACTTCCTTTGAATCTCTGATTGTAAGGACTAATTCTTTTCAAGGGAATTTATTTTAAGCTTGGTCTTATATTTGAATTTAGATAAAGAAGGAAAAACAATACCCGTATAAACATAAAGTAAACACTACTTTTACCTTGAGAATGTGCTGCCCCATTTTTGATGTACATATATCGCGTTTGATCTGTCTTTAAATTATTTCCTGTAGGGTGTCATCTTGTGCTGCATACTGATCTTTATATTTTGTCAAAGTTTATGAAAATAAAATAAATCACATTTTTAAGTCCAACTATTTCAGTGAGAAGAAATGAGCAAATCTTTTTGAGTAAGAGTCGAGAGCCTTCATGTATGCGGTTCTGACAAAACGTGCACGGTTCTGAGAAAACATGCATGAATAAACATAACATAAACTTTGTTAAATTTGTCTACCCAGACTTCTGTAGAGTCACTTGTCGCCTATCCATGTGAGACACAAACAGAGAGAAATTTTTATATTTTCTCTCCTTTTGTCTGTGCAGAAAGAAAAAGTCAATACAGGTCGGCTCATAAAAGTATCCCGGGCTCCAGTCCGAAGGTTAAATGTCAGCGTATTTCACCTTTACATACAGCAGCCATTAATTAAGGACACTTGTGGGTTTCTATTAGCAGTAAAGGGTACCGATGAGGAGAAAATAACTACTGCTGATGTCTCCTAGGTGACTCAAACTCTACCACAGAGTATTGATGCTTATACCCCGAGCACAGCAACAACTAATCAATCCTGCAAAACACACACAGACACACACACACACACACACATCAAAAGCTGCAGTAAACAAAGTAAACAGCTTTTACAAAACAAATTACTTCCCATTTTTTCCCCCAGCTTTGATTAAAACAATGCAGCTCAACTTGCATCTGAAGGATTTTAGAAACAAGATGAAAAACCATGCAGGTAAATATTTGGATACATGAAATGAAATTGACATTTCCAAGTCAATTTGTGCCCTCTCCCTCTGCAAAATAAATGCAAACAACAACAGTGTGTTAAAACTTTTACAGAGAGGTAGGTGGGGTAGGAAATAGTCTCATCTCCTGAGGCTAAAGGCAATTTCATGCTCCAGCACGACTCGGGGGGACATCAGGACTAAAGGTGACCCCAAGATTAACGGTGCAAACCTAATAAATATGTTGGAAATCCAGCAGCACAATAGCATCTCCTGGTCACACTCCTAAAATCCAATCCCAAGGTTTAATTGCTAGGGAAAATCACAATTTTGAATTTTGCAGCAGTGAATTATCATAAAATGAACATATAGAGGTCCTTAAAGGAAATGGGGCAAATATGGCAAGCCTGTTGTTGTTGACAGCCCGAGAAGTGTCAGAGTTCAGCCTGTTGCCAACCGTACCGCCTGATGTGACGAACATCAACAATTCAGAGGAACATCACAGCGTTGGTGGCTATTTAAAGATCAAAGGCCAGTTATGTACACTTGTGTTTGCTGTAGGTTGGAACTAGTGTCTACATCTGCAAACAAGCAACACGCATATTACGTAAGGAGTCGCTTCATCAGGCCTCACTGGAGGCAGAGAGAGTCAAACCAAAAGACTGAAGCACCTGTGTTACCTTGTTGGTTTCTCCTCTTTGGTTCAAAGAGGGCTAATCAGTGAATATCTGCTTCAGATGTCTCGGGTTGGAAACATTTAAAAAGACTATATAAAAGCACCAGGAACACCACGAAGGCAAGGTAGCCAAAAACGTTTGAAGAATAAAGCATTATCTGTTGGAGAGGAGCTGTGCAATGTGCAACTTTTAACTATTTGTATTTGCTGTTCTGCATTTTTGCTGTGTGCGCATTCGCAGAGAAAGAAACTGTTGGAAAGACAACCTGGACATTGACAACTCGAAATGGTACAAAGCTCTATAAATACTGCTAAAATCTAACATCTGCTCAAAGCAAAGCCTTACTTTCATTAGGCACTTGTATTTAGGAGGCTAAATCTGTCAATAGGTCACATACTGTCTCATATGAGGGAACTTAATCCATTTTGGGGTAACTTGAAGACAATTATAATGGCAATAGTGTACTGTAACAACATAACCAAATGTCAGAGACATGAATTCGACTCAGAGTCACAATAGAGATCT